CAGGTTCACTTGTCTTTAGGATGAAGGGGTGATCCTATGGTCTGAACACACAATTCTAAAGTTACCCTTTGAGGTGTGCTCCACAGTCACCCTGCAACCCGCACCCTCTAGCAACTACTGAGCTTTCTCTCCTCGATCTTGTCTTTTCTAGAATTTATAAGAATGAAATCATAAACCACACAGCTTCTCATGCCTGGCATTTTTCACTTTGCAGAATCCTTTAAGGTGTGTCCATATTGCTGCACATGCAAGTTTGTTCCTTTATGTTGCTAGTAGTATTCCACTGCAGGGATTTTTTTTTTTTAAATCTTTTTAAGACAGGGTCTCACTCTGCAGGTCAGGTTGGCCTGGAATTCACTTTGTAGCCCAGGCTGACCTCAAATTTGCCAGCAATCCTCCTGCCTCAGCCTCCTGAGTGCTGGGATTACAGGCATGTACCACAATACCTGGTAAGACGTATTTACCTTTTCATTGCTTGATGGATTTCTGAGCTGTTTTCAACTTAAGGTAATTATAATTACAGCTTCTATAAACAAGATACACAAATAAAGCTGCTACAAACAAGATAACTTTTACTTTTTTGCTTATAGATATCCAAGTGTCCAAGCATCATCCTTTTAACTGACTATCCTTTTTCTCCTGAATTACCCTGGTACCGTTCAGAAAAATCAGTGGACTTCACTGCATCTATTTCTAGACCACCAATCTACATCTATCTTCACCTCAAGCTACAATGTCTTTATTACTGAAGTTTTACAGTAAATTTCAAAATATAGTAAGTTCTCCATTTTTGTCCTTTTCAAACTTGCTTTGACTGTTTCAGTTCTTGTGTTTTTCTGTATAAAGTTTAAAATCATACCAGTTTATACAAAAATGTCCTCTATAGATGGGGAGAACTTACATATTGTTATGGTTGATACATTGTGTCGACTTGAGCAGTTTAGAAATTTAACTAAGAGACTCTGCAGGGAGCCAGGGTTCTTACTTCCTGTGCAAAGGATGAGATTTTGTCAGTGCTACACCCATCTTGAAGGGTGGGGATGGCCTGCATACAATATAAGCCAGGAGAAGAGGTTTGTTTTCTCCCTTTAGCTTTGGCTACCGTCTTAAAGTGTTGCCCCAGTGCCATGCCACCTTGCCTTGCAGCCAGCTGATTATGAACTGAAACCTCAAAAAATCTTTCTTTCTATCCTTAATTTTTGGGTGCCGGGTGTTTTGTCCCAGCAAGGCGAGAAAAGTAATGAGACACATATTAAGAATATAAGTTATCTGATGAATAAAGTCAGGTGTATCTGGTCCTCTAATTTCTTCATCAGTGTGTTGCAGTTTTTGAGACAGGGTCTCACTCTATAGTTCATGCTAATCTTGAAGTCGCAGTGATCCTCCTGCCTGAAGCTCCTGAGTTCTGGCCTTCTTTGCATATTTTGGGTAGATTTACCTCTAAACACTTCTGGTTTAAGATGCTTTTTACATGTACAATTTGCTTAAATTTCTAACTGTTCATTGCCAGCTCACAGAAATATAATTAAGTTTTTATATGCTCCCTATGAGGGGGCTTCATATCCTATGAGGGCTGTTAGGTTCATTAATTAGTTCTATTATCTTATTTGTTTATAGTTCTAAGTGTCTGGCTATGTAGTTAACAGTGGCTTTGACCTCACTATATGATCCAGGATGGCCTCGAAATCACGATTCTCCTTCCTCAGTTACAGGCATGCACTACCATATGTGGCTTAGTTCTATAGCTTTTACCAGAGTAATTGGAAATTTCTATGCAGATGATCATGACTGGCTCTTGCAATATTTTTTTAGTTTTTTTTTTCCAGATCCACTTAAAAAAGGCAGAGGAACTTTTCTAATGTGTTGAAAATTTTACTCATGAATATTTAATCTTGTTCAGAAAATCTTCATTTATTGGATTTCTAAAATTCTGTTAATATTGTGAATTGTACTGATTAGTTTTCAAATGTTAAACCAATCTTGAAAATCTGGGATAAGATTTGCTTGATTATATTGTAGAGTCCTTTTTATATAGTGTTGGATTAGTTTGCTGAAGAATTGGAAAGAATTCTTATGTTTTGGTACATGGAGGATACTGGTTTGGAGTTTTATTTTCTTGTAATTTGTTAGTCAGGTTTACTGTTTCCATGGTATATGTTTGTTTACACTCTTGTTTTTATTTTTGAATGTTTAGTTGACACAGGAGAAGTGATTTACTGCATATGTCATACTCAGCCCCAACAGGGAACCGAACTTAAGCAGCCCCACACAGACCCAGGCAAGGATTAACAAGGGGTGCTGCTGGGTGATCAAGGTGGGTCTCTCTGGATGGTGGAGATGCACATTCTCAATCCAGTGGGACACATTCTAGACCGCAGCCTGCAGCCCAACAACTTATACAAGGATCTGAGGAAGATGGTTCTTATTCTACCCTTCTTCTAGAAGCAGTATGCATTAGCCAGGCCTTGGGGAGGGAAGGGTTTCCCAGTCCACAACCCCAGAGAAGCCTTTACCCTTGGCTTAGAGGCCCTGGGGATGTGCAGGTTTGTTGCCTGGCACCCAGTGATGAAACCATTGCTATTGATGTGAAAGATGTTCAGGAAGCTGGTGCTTTCACGTCCACACCCAGCAGCAGTCATCTTGTTGCTTATGTGACTGATGACAAGAGGAGGGTGTCGCTGCTCATCTTCTGCATCTGGTGCAGAGCACCAAGAAAGGGAGTGCAGATGAGAGCACTCCTTTTTCTCGGAGCTGCATGTTATTATCAAGTGATATGCTCACACACCCTCACTTCAGGGAATTAAATTTATTTATGTCTTCTCATTCATTTCTGTGACAGCCATTTCTTCCTCACACTCTGCCAAACATGCAACAATCTGTGCGCTCCAACTCTTCTTGGAAGGGTTTGTTATACTTAGAAATTAAGTTGCCTTGCTTTGTTTGTGACCTCAGCTCTTACAAATTCAAGGAAATATATAATTTGTGTGGGCTACCTGAATTTTCTTGTTAGGGTGGGATAGGCTTCTCTTAAAGAAGAACAACTTAGGTTTGTATGTTATATGCCCTTGCCTTTAACTTTCACATTTTTAGTAATTCATTATTATTATATTTTATAAAAATATGGCTCTCAGTGGAATAGAGTCTTGCATGCTTGCTTCTCAGCTACTTGGAAGGCTGAGAAAGAAAGACTGAAGTTCAAGAACAGCCCCAGTAACAGTGAGACTGTCTCCAAAAAAGGGAGGGGTTACAAAAAAGGGGGGTGCAGCTCAGTGTAGAGCACTAGCCAGCATTTGCACGGCTTTGAGTTCAATCCCTTCTCTCTCTCCCTCTCTCTCTCTCTCTCTCTCTCTCTCTCTCTCACACACACACACACACATACACACAGATATAGTTCCATAACCAACTGCAAAGAACACTAAACTGGCTCTTTATCCCCGATAATGTGGAAAGTGCTATTGCAAAACATAAGGTGCTATAGTAATGATAACATTGTTCAAACTCTTGGTATCATAAATGCAATGTTTGGCTACAGAACAGTAATTGTGGAAACAACAACACAAATTATGGACAGCACAGAAGGTTAATAGTAGTTTTTGTTTGTTTGTTTTTTTGTTTTGTACCAGGCATTGAATTCTAGACCTCATGTGCTTGCCAGGCAGGCGCTTCTGCTACTGAGCTAAATCCTTGCCCACTCTCTTTTTTTCACTAGTTCATATTTTATAGCGGTAAGACAGTTGGGGGTAGTTAACAAAATATTTTCACTTTAACATACTTAAATTTAACATGCCACTGTTAATTTTGTATTTTTTAAAAAAATTCATAGAATTCGTTTCAGTTTTTTCCTAATAAAAGGGTTATTTAGGAATCTTGGAAAATGTCCCAGATTATCTCTGGAAAAGGTGTATGAAAATAAACCATAAATTCTACTAACTACCAAAGGTGTCAGTTAAATGGAGACACAGTAAGAAGATAAATCAGTCTTTGTAGATATTTGAACAGACTATGTTTACTTTCTGCTGCCAGAGTTTAGAGTAAGTAATTATTTTAAGGTTTGCATTCTCAAGGCACATTTCTTATAAACTTATCACTTTAATGCCATTTTTGTCTCTCTTTCCCAAAAAAATGGTCAAGACTTCGAGGACAACACCCCATTCGCTGTGTGCTTCTCAGTGCCTAGCATGGTGCCTGGCACATGGCAGGTTCATAACAAATACAGGTTTGCACCGAGTGAGTGAAGAAATAAATAGGTCTGATGCAGTTCTGCCTGGCTCCTTCCAGTATATTTTCCCTGTGACTACATTCTGTTCTCACTCCCTTCTCCTCTCACTCCCCTTGCTTTTCCCTAGTGTACAAGGATCTACAAGTACCATGTCTTCCGAGCCCCCAGTACCATGCTGCTGAGACACTGCTGCCGGCTGACTTACCAAGTCAGCTGGTCTTACACACCCTCACCTGCAGCACTGAGGCTGAGATTCTGGCCTGACATTTGCTTGGATGCCCAACCAACCACCGCAGGGCCTAGGTGAGTAGCTCTCTACCTGAACCTGGCTGATATTCCCCTCCCTGGTCGTGTACAGTCAGAGAGTCACAGATCTCCATCTAAGCCACTATGAGTCACAGAAGGCCTTCATCTTACATTAATGTAATCATTATTTAGTTTTCCATATGATGTGGTCCACTCTTCATTAGGACATATAAGAAGAAGGCCACTTAGCAGACTCTAGTCTTTCAAAATTCCTAATATAGCACTATGCCCAGATTACATACACAGTATTTAATGAACTGAAATAATGAACTGAATCTTGCATAGAAATCTCTGTATAAATATCTCCAATTAGTTGTCAACCTACATTCGTGCTGTATTTTTCCTAAAAGTCATTTTTATTTCTTCACACTATAGTCTAAGAGGGAAAAACTTTCTTATATACCTTAAAGGGTGCTGACTGATATATTCCGAGAACACCAGTGACTGTTCCCACAGATTTTTAAGGAGCACTCACCCAGCCTTAGCAACACTGATTGTCTGCTGCTCCATCGCCTCATGGATGCTGGTTCTGTCATGCTCTTTGAGGCTGTTGAATTCATCTATACAGCAAAGGCCTCCGTCTGCGAGTACCAACGCCCCAGCTTCCAGATTCCACTCGCCTGAGTCTTTCACAGCAGTCACCGTCAGACCTGGAAACCAGAAGGTTACATCAGCTCTCATTTTCAGAAGTATAACCCGCGCCTATGAAGAGCAAGAGGCAAATAACATAGGCCAGAAACACAGCTCTGCATTAAAAAGGAGCATCAAAGAGTGAAGACTGCAGGGGAAATTAAAGCTTTTTCTTATTTGTAATTGATCAAATAAGTAACAGTGTACTCAGAATAACAACAGCAAAATGAGTTCAATCATGAAAGCCATGTATGTGAACACAGTCAATCCTTCTTATCTGCAAGTAAAAGGACTGCAAAGACACAGGAGCAAAGGAGCCAAACAGAAACACCCTGTCGTTATAACATACTGGCACCCACGAGGTGGCAGACTACTGTTTCAAAGTGGACTTCCATTGGTTGAAAATGTATATTCAAGCTGTAAGGTAACCACATTTCTACATAACTCATGTTTCTTTTTTTCTTTCTGAGAAGGAAAAAAATAAACTATCTTTGTTCACAATTAACATGATCATCTATGTAGAATGAATTGACAAAAAACATCAGCTGCTTTTCTAAACAGCAAAGATGAACATGTTAACTTTGAAACATCAAGACCCATAAAATGAAATACGTTAGACAAAAGTCTAACATATACAAAATATACGTTATACAAAATGTATACAGGATTTATATGAGGAAAATCACAAAACTGATGAAAGAAATGAAAAGGAAATAAAACAGAGATACTCTGTAGGAATGTTACTAATTCACCTAGGGTTCTTTTGCTCAATTTAGGTGGAAATCATGAAGCAGCTCTGCTAGCATCCCTGACACCTCCAAATGACACCAAGTGATGTTGGATGCCAGTAGCTGACATAGCTCTGCTGCTGCCACACTACTGTGTGATGCCAGCTTGTTGTAGGGTGACAGCCAGCTTCTGATGTCTGCTACTGCTGGCCACCACTGCACAATGCTAGATGCTGGGTCCCTGCTGCTCTTCCTCACTGGTGGCTGTCTCTGGAGCTCTTATGCTTCCTGCACTGTTCAGGATAAAAGTCCTAAGTAGATTGATAGGACATTTGGAGCCCACGTAGCCAAGAAATAAATCACAAGCAGGTTTACAGGTAAAGCAAAGTGAGTCATTTTAAATAGCAGGGCCTGAGCTGTGGCACAGGGGTGTCAGTACACAGGAGGGTCCAGAAGACTGCCCTGTTGATTATGCCCAGAGCGGGCTACAAGCATGCAGGCCTACAGCTGTCTTGTTTTGAGCAGTGAGGCGAGCCAAAGCCCACAGGACTCACAAAAGCACTATGGATGGCAAGTGGATCAGCATTATCTTCCCACCAACAGCCACATCAGAGACCAGAGATATAGCCTGTGAAGCAGGGGACTCTGATATGAGATAATATGGCAGCTGATGACAAGTGATTCCTCCCAAATTCCTTTCCCAGAAGTATACTTTATTTTATTTGAAAAAAGAGTTAAGTATTAAGCATGACCTATTCCTGGGTCTCTTCTTGAGGCAAAAATGTTTTGTTCTGTCTTTTATAAGCACCGCTGCATCAGTATCTTATCCCCCAGCAACTACATGTAGGCTTCTCACCCTGTTCTATAGACTGTACAACCAATAAATACCACAGGTCTGGCTAGTTTGGGGTCTTTGCTCAAGCAGTGACCACCCTAGTTCCCCCTTTCATGTTTATCTGGTCTGAGTTTTTCTTTGCAGCCTTACACTGTAGCACCAAACAGGAGATGGAGGTCTTTGCTGAAGTCCCTGTAAAACTCAAAACTCAAAGGCTCCAGTAGGTAACACAAGAGAAATTCACATGATCTTGAATATGACAGTGACTTTAGATACAACACAGCAAGCAGTGTCCAAAAACAAGTGACAAATTGGACTTCACAAACATTAAAAACTTCAGTTCTGTGAAAGATTGTTAACCAAAAAAGTGAAAAGGTATAAGACTGGAAGAAAATATGTGCAAAAGTACATCTGACTGGTCACCAAAATATAAAAAGAAGTCTTAGAAATCAACAATAAGAACATAAACAACTGAATTAAAAATTGGGCAAAAGATGTGAACATGCACTTTAATCAAGAAGATATGGGGCCAGGGAGAGGCCCTGGGTTTAATTACCAGTACTGCAAAAGAAAAACAATTAGAAGATAAACTAAAGACTAAAAAATTAGTAGTTACTAGGGTTGAAGCACCTAAGGATCTGCAGGCAGTGTGCAGAAGGCTGTTTCCGGAGCAGTGAAACTGTTCTGCATGGTATTACAAGGGTGCATACATACATCACACACTCGTTGAGACTCAGAATGTGCAGGAGTAAACCCCTGCAGGCGACGAAGGGTTCGTGCAGCTCTGCGCCTGGATGCTGACAGAGGGGAGGGGGACATGTATGACCGGGTGAATGGGGAAAGGAGGGCGTAAGGGAGCTCTGTACTTTTTGCTCATTTTTATTGTGAACCCAACAGAATTTTGAAAATGTTAAGAAAATCTGAAAGACACACAAGAGAAGAAAATACTTGCAAACGCTGTACTTTATCAAACCTTTTGTACAGAACATATAAAAACTCAGAATATTCAGTAAAAAATAAGCAAAAAACTTATTCAAAAGTGAGCACGATAAAACAGACTTTTATCATAGAAAATATACACATGGCAAATAAAGCCGTGAAGAGCTGTTCAGTGTGCGCTCCGCTGTGAAGCAAGACAGGCACGAAGGTTTGGATCTACCCCATCACTCACCGCAGCTCAGCATGTTGAAGTCTTAGCCCCAAGGCACCAGTGTCCAGAGGTGAGAGGACCACGAAAGCTCAGCCTCACCAGTGGGTTCATCTGTGATGGGTCTCCAGCCCCTCTGTAGGAGGGAACTCACTGGAGCAGGTTTCTGGAAGATTCCCTAGGAGGTTCTGCATGGCCCCAGTGCTGTCCTCTCTCCAGGCAACTCCTGTCCACAAGGCGGTAGGCTGCTCTGTTCGAGGGTCCCTATGGGGTTTTCCACCCTTCATGCCTGTAGTCAATGGAGCCCAGGACCATGGAGCACAACTTCAAACCAGGAATCACAATGAACCCCCAAGATTTGCCTTGTCAGGTATTTTGTCACAGTGATGGAAAGTTGGCTACTATAGCAGGCCTTCTTGACTACCTTGATCAATACAGCGTGGTAAAGTGATTTGGCTAACCTCTAAAAATGCCATGCCTCATTTCCTTGAATACTAGTTTCTGGAACCAACTCCCATGCTAGGAGGAAACCTAAACACACCCACACTAATGTGTTTCCATGTCGTCTCCAGCTGCAGCAGCAACATAGAGGAGCTGCAAGAGACACTGAACAGCATTGCAATCCAAACATTGCATCTGGCTTTCGGCAAAAGGTACTGCTTTTCAATTTTGAAAGAAATACTCATAGTGCAGAGCAGGGTAATGAGATCACAGCAAGCATGGAAATAATACCATCTAAAGATTAGTTTAGAGCAGGAAATACGTTTAGCTTGAAAAAAAACAGAGGGAATAAAACTTTGGGCATTTTAGAGAGTGATACTATAGAAGAGGAATTACATAAATTTGAAGCAGCTTTCAAACACACTGGGAGCTGCTGAGTGAGAGATCTTTCCCTGCTCAAGAGCCTAAAGAAAGCACACAGCCCCAAGGAGCGCCCCCAGGGCACGGAGCACAGAGGTGAACAGGTGTGGTGGGAGAACAGGGGCATCAGAGGTGAACTGGAGAAGCAAGGTGGTGCAGCATAACAGGTATATGCGTAAATGCACTGTGGTGGTTGAGCAGTCTCTGCTTTCCATAGGGCTCCACCTGACCTGAGCTTTCTGTCTGTTTTCTTCATCCTCTCCTTGTTCTTTCCTGCGGGAATTTAGAGATGCTGTGGATGCAATGCGAAGAAATAACTGAGATTCACACACAGCCATCGACAGAAGGCTGTTGGAAGATCTCAGGTATTTAAAAGCAGGAGGCTGATGGGGACTGCTATCACAAAGAGAATGAGAGATGCGATGGTAGTTGCTATTGTCTTCCCTAATTTGGAACTTGAGGACCTAAAAAGACTCCATCATCCTGTAATGATTTGATTAGTTCTATAATATGCAATAAGTATATAAAGTGGGTGAAGTTAGGGACAACTATTTGTAAGAAGCTAGAGACAGTTAGATAAGGTAGATCTCCAGTGGACTTGCTTTGAAATCTGTATTTCTTTAAATTGTTTTTTATTTTTTTTTTAAATGTTCTGTTCTGTTTTGATATGGTTAACCTTACCCTCTTTGAGATGTAAAACAAATAGGTGGGACTGATAATCATATTACAGAGCTTTTGTTCGACCATAGAGCAGAATGGTTTGTAGGGTCACTTTTTTGAATGTCATTCTAAATACTTTAATTCTATAACCTGAACCTGAACAGCCATTTCGAAGATGACAATTTGTAACTTATCAACCGGCAATTTCTTACCCTTTGTTTGTCTGTAATTTAGTATTATTTCTACCCTTTTTTTTTTATCTCCATGTATTTTTTTTTCGTTTCCTTTTCTTTAAATAAAATAAATAAATAAATAAATAAAAGCAGGAGGCTGCCTTACAAAGCACCTAACTTTCATTAAACTCCTGAAAAAAAGCTGGAGTGTCCACTGTCAGCGTTAAAAGCCATGTGTGCGGTGAACAGGCAGCCATGTGGAGGACAGAAGGTTCTGAGAGTCACATCCCACCCCGCCACTCTTTGAAGTGTGGGAGGGTTCTGCAACCTTACCTGTATTCTGTGGCAAAGATAACCAAAAACAAGGACACCTGAGAATTTTTTTCCTACTTTTATTAATTTCTGAGATAGGATAAAGAGTTATCTCTGTCTTTGGAAAGGCAGGGAAGGAAAAAGAAATATTATTTCTGGTGCTTAAAAGTCAATATATTGAGGATAAATAAATTTTGGGGTTTTGGTGCTAAAATAGCAAAATCAGCCAAGGTAGAGAAGTTAGTCCCCAATTCTTTTCCTTTTCTGGTAGAGGACTTTTGTGTTCAGTACCTCAGCAAATATT